CGGTCTCTCCTTGCGTACTATTGAGCACAGACGTGCTGCGTGCTAGCATTCTTACACTTTATTAAGTGCTACATACCATTTAAGATTTTGGTCTTTTTTGATAACAGTCCTGGTCATCGTGAAGGTTCGAATTTTTTTTTATTCACTTATGAAAGTACTCTACTTTCCACCCAACACTAATCCCCTCATCCAGTCCATGGATTGAGGAAAAATTGCAAATTTCAACACTTATTATTTACGTAAGGCTTTTGATCAGCCATTGACAGCTCCGGATAAGCATCCTGATTTAACAGTTTGAGATTTTTGGAAGTCTAGCAATATGGAACAAGCTATACAAATCATTGCACAATCGTCACACAAAATTTTGTGAATTATATTTGGAAAACAATATGGCCGCAGTTTTTTTCGGTAATGATGAAACTTTTAAAGGCTTGACTGAAAAACTTGAAAAGCCTGTTGAACGATTAGGACGAAAAGTTGAAGAACATTATGCCAAACAACTGATCGAGTCACACGGGGATGATGCTGAGGCTTCAGAACCAAAGGAAGACACGTAATGTTAGCTCACGAAATAGATGACAACCGTCCCGTAAGATTACTGCAGCAATAACACCATTGGAGAAAGTGGATTCTAATGCCTCACGGTTCTTAAAAGTCCAAGGGTAAATAGATGGCACTTTGGCCCGCTATTGAGTGACTAACGAAAAGAAGAAAGAAGCAACTGGTGATCATCGCTTGATAATTTTATGGCGAAGGTCGAAGAGCCGGAAGAAAGATATTTTCTACTTTTCTGCTTCCTCACGTTCTTCATACTGCACTATATTACATATTGGAATCTAATATTTGTGTGCATCCTGCTAATGAAAATAAAAAAATATCACTTAAGACAAATTAACGTATAACGTACATAAACAATATGGTATGATAACGGGTGCTGGTTAGTTAAATCCGACTAACGCAAAACTCGTGTTACGTAATGGTTTACGGAGAGCAACTCTTACATAAGTCTGGGTCTGTCTGTATCTATCTATCATTAACACTTAACGTGGCTGGTATTAGTTCTGTTAGCGTCACTGTGCAAAAATCCGTAGGGAATGAATATTGAATAAATGAACGTCAGCTCAGTACTTTTGAATGTTTCAAGGCTACGCTGGTGCTGTTTTTCTGCATTTGCTCTGTTCCTTGACTTTCGTAGAGCAAAGAAGACACGCTATCAGAAACAAAAAGTAAAAGTTTACTTTCATAATGCATCCGAATTGCTTACGAGTCACTCGAGCACTCTCACAACCACCGGTGCATCAAGAACTGCACACGCCATGCAAGATTTTGGTAATCTTTTGCTCGTTCATGAATGTGCTTCTTTTCATAGCAAGAATAGACTTTTTCTTTTCCTCGATTTCTTCTTCCAATACACGTGACTGATTTCTGAGCGCCTGCAAATCAGCGTCGATCTGTTTTCGTTTCTGATCCAGCAACAGTCTGTTGCGTTTGTACTCCTGTCGCCACTGCAGGCACTCTTTGAGCATCTGTTCCGAGTCTTCGCCCAGGAATTCTAGAGTCTTCGCTAAGGGATGCGCGGTTCTCGCTAAGCTCTGCAGCAGTTCCTGCATATTCGAAATCTCTTCCTGAATCTTTCGTCGCTCCTGACTTTCGAACACGTGATCAGACCATGCTAGAGTAGTCGATTGACTACTTTTGACCACTTCTTTCTCCAGCTGATTTTTGGTCTCGAGTATTTTTCGAACTAACTGCCCGGGTAACTTTGAGTCACCGTCGAGGTATTCGGCATTTGGCCTGTCCAGAAAGTCGCTATCCGCGCTTTCAATGATAAAATCATCGCTGTGTATGCCGCTTTCGTCATCGTTTTTACTTCCCTGACGTATGACCATGAGATTGGTCTCCTTAGGCTCATCAGGAA